CAATCCTCCTGCCTCAGCCTCCCAAGTGAGTGCTGGGATTACAAGCGCGCGCCACCACGCCCGTTTTAGGGGCGGTATTCTCGAAGGGATTCACTTTCCACTAGATTAAACCTCACTATAGCTGGGCATGGTAGCACACTGTTATGATCCAGCGCTCTGGATGCTGAGGCAGGTGGATCGCCAAGTTCCAGTAAGGTTGGGCAACTTTGCAACACAGTGTCTCAAAATTTAAAAAGGGGTGCGGAGGTAGCTCAGTGTGGAGGCGCCTAAATTCAATCCGCAGTACCAAAATAAAATAAACCCCACTATAAAGTGAATGTGCTTTGCAAAATCCTTCCTTCCTTATTAAGTGCCAATCCAAGTTAGCTACAGCAGGACACACGAACTGGAACTTGCCCCAGGTCATCACTAACTGTAGACAACCAAGTGTGGTTGTCACTCGTGGTGGTACCAGGACCTCTGATTCCTGCCGCCACTGCGCTCCAGCCTGGAGGTCGGGGTCTCGCCACATTCCTCACGCCCCCAAACGCAGAAACTTAAAGTCCCTGCCACGTGCTAGCTCGCTACAAGCACCATGTGCAAACCGATAAAACCTCCCTCTCCCGACCCCAGCAGTGGGAACCCGGGGTTAGGTGAGGACGACCCGAATCCCAGGCTCCCACGCCGTCCTCTGTAAATCGCATAAAAAGGTAAAGGAGAAGAGGATGGAGCCGGTTTCCCTCCAACTTTCTCCCACGTGGGGTGGTCGTTCTCCCGGGCTGGGCCGCGCTCTCCTCCGCCGACCCGAGACCTCAGGGGCCGCAGGCCGAGCGCCGTAAAGCAGACCCGACCACAGGCGCCGCGACGCCGAAGCCTCCCGGGTCCCGACCTCGCCGTCCGAAGGGACCTTCCGGCTACGCGAGCTCCACCGCGGGCCCGGCAGCGGCACCCAGCGGTTACGGCGGCGCGCCTCTAAGCTTCCCACCGGAGGCTGGTGAACAGAACCCCGCGCCTCCCGCTTCCCAGGCCTCCCGCCGGGCTCACGTACTCACCATGGCTGCGGCTCCCGGGACTCCTTACCCTCCACGATTACCCGACGTCAGAAAAGTCCCAGAGCCACACTGCAGGCAGAGCGGAAATGGTCGCGCGCGCGGCAGGAAGCGGAAGTGACGTCACAACGCGCGGCGGGCGGACCTTGCTCCTTAGGAATGGCCTGCGCAGAAGTGGCCTTTTTCTGAAGGGGGTGCTTTACTAATTTCATTAGCATGTTATTATAAATTATTCGCTGAAACTATAATTTTTTTTTGAGACAGGGTCTCGTTATGCAGTTCAGGCTGGCCTTGAGCTCAGGGTGTAGCCCAGGCTGGTCTCGAACTCGCAACGATCCTCCTGCCTCAGCCTCTCGAGTGGTCAAAAAATGGCACAGCAAAACAAAGGATTTCAATGGCGTCACCATTCCATTCAGTATTTGTTTTATCTGTATTGGCACGTTGAACACAGGGACGCTCTACCACTGAGTCACATAGCCAGCAACTCCCTCCCCCTTTATTGATTGATTGATTGAGAAGGTCTCGCTGTGTAGTTCAGGCTGGCCTTGAGCTCACTATGTAGCCCAGGCTGGCCTCCAACGCGCAGCAATTCTCCTGCCTCTGCCTCTCCAGTGCTGGGATTACAGGCGTGCGCCACCACGCCCAGGTCCTTATTTTTTAATTTTTTGAGACGAGATCTCAGTAGATTGCCCAGGCGGGACTCGAATTTCTGATCCTACTACACAGGCGTGCACCCCTGCGCTTGACATGTCAGTTATTTTTTTTTTTTTTTTAAGTTTTTACAGTTTATTAATCCTCTCTTACAAAAGTCAGTCACCGCAGACAGGCACTGCAGAATCTTTACTCCTTCGGCTTTTTGCCAGCACCAACGTTAGCCTTTGCGGTGCCTCTGACTTTCTTCGTTGTGGTCTTGCATTCCTCCCGCTGCTTTCTTGAGGTCTTTTCCTCTGTCTCATATAGGCCGTGTCTTGCAAGTCTATGTTTCGGCTCATTTTTCTTCCCATAATCCGGGGGATTGTAAATCATGCCAAAGCCAGTGGTCTTGCCACCACCAAAATGGGTTCTTTTGTCCAAACACAAAAATGACATCTGGTGTACATTTTGGCGAGTTTTTCCCGAATTTCTGTCGTAGGTCCTGTTGCTTGCCCAGGGTGAAGGTCATCAATGACAATTTGTTTCCTTTGACGTAGTCTGTTGGTCATGAACTTCCCAGTTCAGATAGTTACTGTGTCATTCATGATGGCAACAGATCCTCAGCCAGGGAGGAAAAAGTGTCAGTTCATTTCTTGAGCACATTTTTGTGCTTTCAAAATCTTTTGACTCCACGCTGATGAGGGAAGATAAGGATTGGTAATCTCCCAATTTTGTTTTTTCATCCTCATACACCTTGTCAACATCTCTGGTGGGGAATTCAGTTAGAACCCATTAAGTAGGGGAACTTGGAAGAGCAGGTTTGGAGTAGGAAGGGAGGGGATGAATTTGTCAGGTTGTGTTTGGAGATAATTTAGGACCCTCACTTTCTGTTGACCGGCATCCTGCTCTTTTCAGTGCTGCTGCAACTCTCCATTATTTAAGATTAAACTCATCCCTCACCACTCCCAAAAGGTCCTCTTTGATCCTTATGACCTTCCTCATCTCTCTCTTGGATGCCGCACACACCTTGAGACCATTTGGATGAGGCCAAAACTAAACCGTTCAGCCACAGACCACTGGGAACACAGCCTGGAGTGTTATCACTTGTTGCAACAAAGGAGGGCGCATGCCAGGGGACCTCTGAGCGTCTCAGTAAGATGGCATTATGAGGTGCTGACTGTAGCGTCAGGCTTATGCTAAGTGCTTTTGAGGAGGACCAAAGAAGTGAGGTTTGCTCTAGGTTATATGCTGTCAATGGGCATGGGCTTTCCCACACTTGGGCAACTTAATCTCTTCCTCAAGGTGACAGGATGGGATGGAGAGAGGCCAAACCCGTAACTGGTAAAGAGGTAGCAGTCACTCCTAGCTGCCAGTGTAAGGGAATGTTTGGTCATTTTTGTGGCTTGGACAGTGCTCATGTTTTTGTGTGTAATCCGACTTGGTTAAGGAATTCTCTTGTTTTTGTCTTATGTAGTGGATTGATAATTGGTGGTCAACTTATAACCCCCAGCTGAACTGAGTAGGCGTCGTGCTGGGTGTGGGAGGTCCACCTGGGGACTGTTGCCAGCAGCATAAGAGGCAGACATGGAGAAGATGAAGAAAGGCTTTTGGGAAGTAAAGAGGCTGTTGGGAGCAGAGGAAAGGCTGTTGGAGCTGGTGGAAGCTGTAAGGAGCTGTTGGTTCTGTTGGAGGAGCTCGTCACGCTGGCTTTCCTGATGAACTCGGCTGTTTTCATCCTCAGAGGAGCTCAGGACCTCACTGGCACTGAGAATGGCTTTGGTTCACTCTGGGGGAGCTCTGGTCCTCACTCTGAGCATTGCTTCCTGGCTCCGGAGGGGAAGATGGTGCACTGCCGGTGCTTGCTGCGTTGGCTTCCCTGCTGGGGACTCAGCCATCTTGATCATAGGAGGAGCTTGGGACCTCACTGCTGCTGAGGATGGCTGTGGTACCTTTTGGGGGAGCTCTGGTTCTTCTGAGTGTTGCTTCCTGGCTTCAATGCAGATCCCTCAGCCTGCTAGCACAGATCCTTCATCCCGCTGGCACAGACTTTCTAGATTCCACCATTGACCTTTGGGCCTTCCCAGTGTAGATCCATGAAGTGGGCCTGCGTGAGATATTGTTGTGGGCTCTGGGTTTCCAGTTGGATTTGTGGGAGGCATTGTTATGAACTCTAGGTCTTCAGCTGGACTCATGCAAGACATTATCGCAGGATCCAGGCCCTAGGGTGGATTCTTGGTCTATAGTGTGTGGACAGATTTCCTGTACTCTCTTGTATATCGTTCTTTGGGTGACTATTATAAATAATCATATAAAATGTGTCCTGTATAATATTGTTTTCCCTTGCAAAATAACCCCCAAACCAACACATCTTATAACAGTTAAAGTGGTCCTATCTGATGGTGCTGTTCTGTGAAATTGTTTATGTTCAACAGAACTCCAGGGCCCAGCTGCACTGTCAGGGAAGCTCCTACAACATTGCATCTCTCACCGACAGAGCTGGACCAGTTCCCAGCGGCCATGGGATGCCTTTCTTCTTCTCATGAGCCTCGAATTCTTACGTCCAAACTCTGTCCTTGAGACTGAAGAGCCTTGTCTTGACGTGAAAGCCCAAACTTATCTCACACCTCTACTCTTCTCTGGCCTGGGTCTGTGACAGAGTATTGGGTACCAGCTGGACTGATATTTAACCAGGTTATGTGGCATGGTACTTTAGGTTCTTGTTTTACTGAGACTACTTCTCAGTATGTAGGTCAGCGTGACCTTGAACTTACAGTGATCATTCTACCTTGGCCTCCTGAGTGCTGGGATCACAGGTGTGTGCAACCACGCCCAGCTAGGTTCTTAAAAATAGAGAAACTTTTCCAGCTGCTTGGTAAATAGGTGATCCCTCTCCTTGGAACCCCAGGGGTCACTCACAGTCTAGCCACAAAAGAGTTAAGTTTGATTGGTTGATGTCTCTGTCTGTTCAGCTACTCTGCAGTTTTTGTTTTGTTTTTGGTTAAGTCAGGGTCTCCCTATATGCTTCAGGCTGGCTCTGGACTCACTATGTAGCCCAGGCTGGCCTTTTTCAACCTCTTAAATGCTGGGATTACAGGCATGCACCCCCACACCTGGTTTATTTTAGACTTTGAATATAACTTTTGGGTGAAAGGCAGTCTTTAGGGTAGAATCTGTTCTCTGGCCAACACCAATCCTGGGGTAGGAAAAATAATTCTCCAACAGGAAATCAGGATACTGTGAGCAAAGAAAAAAAGATGCTGAGTAGTCATAAAAGAATACAAATGTATACTGGAGTGTGGTGGCGCACGCCTGTAATCCCAGCACTCAGAAGGCTGAGGCAGGAGGACTGTGGCGAGTTCGAGGCTAGCCTGAACTACATAGTGAGACCCTGTCTAAAAAAATACATGCATTCCATACAGCGTTCATGAAATGTTTGATAACTAATAGAGGGTCGAACGGTTAAAAATATGTGATAGAAAAATATCAACCACACTGCAGAGTACATCACCCCATTATACAAGGAGGAAACTTAAGTCCTTCATTCCAAAGGACAGGGACATTTAAAACAGATTTTTGTTTTTCTTAACTCCTCTTGGATGCTTCCCCAACTCCGTCCTTACCTGCACAGAGGGTTGTTGGCCAAGACCAGTGGCTGGAGCTGCCCCTGTGGCATCAGGGTCCTTTGTGAGGTGGCCTCTGTGACAGAGGTGCTATGACTCAGGGGCCACCAACCCCAAGCTCTCTGCACCAGCCACACCAGTCCCGGCCTCCAACTCCCCAACACCACCTGCCTGACCTAAGCTTTGCCATGCTGCTGCCACTGCTGGGAGCCTGTGCTGTGGTGGGGCCGTTCTGGGGCCCTGAGTGGGAGCCAGTGCAGGGCCTGCTGTCCCAGGACTGCAGCTGCAGGGACCCCCGGTGCTGTGGCAACCTGCTCGTCATCTGCCTCTTTCTGGTCTGGCAGGTCCGGCATTTCTGGTACCACGTCAGCAGGATCTGCTCCAGCAAGGAGAATGTCAGCAAGGTGAGAGGGCTTCGCACTTCCTTTCATCAGCTCCACAGCTGTCCCCATCACATGCCATAAGGACCCTGTCCCGTGCCCTGTGAACCCCGAGATGGGGCCACCACCCAGGCCCCAAACCTAGAGTCACTTGGGTTCTGTTTCTCTCACTCACCACATTCAATCCACGTGCAGCTCCTATGGGCTCTACTTGTAGATCCCACCTCACATCTGCTCACTTCCCGAAACCTCTCCACACCCTCCTGGGTGGACCTGGCAACGCGACTCACCTGGGTCTCAGTAACGGCCCTCTGCCTGGCTCCTGTTGCCTCTCTGGCCGAGCCATGGTCATTCTTCCATCCAGCCACCAGCCACGGTAACCTCTCTCTCTCTCTTTTTAAAAAATTCAGCCCAGCCAGGAATGGTGGCACACATCTATAATCCCAGGCTTCTGGGAAGCTGAGGTAGGAGGATCCCAAATCTGAGACCAACCTGGGCAACTTAGCAAGACCCAACCCGCTAATAAAAATAAAAAGGGCTGAGTAAGGCCCTGATTCAACCCCCAATATTAAAAAAAAAAAAAGAAGGAAGGAAGGAATGGAGGGAGGAAAGGAAGAGAGGGAAGGACGGAAAGAGGGAGAGAGAAAGAAAAGGAAAGGAAAAAGAAACCAACCAAACACTGGCATGGAGGTGTAGCTCAGGGGTAGAGTGCTTCTTGCCTGGTATTCATGAAGCCAGCACCCTGCAAGGGTGGTGGGAAGAGGAGAAACAGATCACTACCCGCAGCCCAGCGATATACAATCTATTGACTTCTACTAGACCAGTGTTTTCTATGTGAAATTATATTATTATAGACAGCTAAGTTAGGTAGAAATATTCTAGGCAGTCAGACAGGGCTGGGCCCTCAAGGGAGTCAGTGCAGGAGATGAGAACACATTACAACTGTGGCTAGAGGCACATCTGTCAAAAGCCAGGCCTCAAGATAAAGATGGAATGACCAGGCATATATATATTCCCAAGGGATAAGCAATAAATTAAAGATTATACTATAATTGGTATCACCTGGTCTAATAAAGTCTAATAGGCATCAGTCACCCAGGTGGGTGTCCAGGACTTCCTGATCCATCCTTGTTCTTTCCATGAACACTTGCTATGTGACCCAATACACTCCATTGGATCAACATTACCTAAGTGGCTGTGCTTGGAATCTTATTGGTTGATCATAATTTTGTCCCACGTTGTACCCGCCTTGTGATTTTGCTCTATAAAACTTGCTCTGAGAAGTAGGCTTGTTGGACCCACTTTTGGGTCCTCTCCTGTCTCTCAGGAACTATCTCTCAATAAATTTTTCCTGCTCTACTGCTCCTTAGAATTCATTCTGCAATTTTAGGGAGCACAAATTTGGTGTGTCTGACACGACATGTAGCAGGTGGGAGTTATATTTATTTTCTCTAAATCAGTATGGCAAGTAATCTGTGTGCCTGGCTTCGTGCAGTATTGTTTGTGAGCTAGAACAGCCCTAAAAACAGATCATCACACCTTATTCTTCAAAACTGTGCTATTGCTCCTATGGATACACTCCTGTCAAACTCAGAATGAAACTCAGGCTCCTAACCACAGTTCTAAGGCCTGACGTCATTTCCGGTGTGTTTGTCCCTGAGGTCATTTCCCAGCACCCTCCTCTTTACGGACTCCGTCCTGGCCTCACGGTCCTCCTCACTGTTCCTGTACACGGCCTTGTTCTGTCCCCAGGGCCTTCGCACTCAGCGTCTTCTCTGACCACAGTGCTCTCTTCTCACACCTGTGTTTGTCCCTCACTTCACTCAGGCCTTCCGTCAAATGTCACCTCCTCTGAGAGGCCTTTCTTGGCCACTCTGTCTAAAGTCACTAACTCCAACCCCACCCTGATTTATTTTCATTCAAATACTTTTGGATACCTAACATTGTTATATATTTGGTTATTGTATTCTTTCATGTCTAGAAAATAGCTTTCAGCTGAGACTGTCTGTTTTGTTCCTGTTGATGTCTCAATATGCCAAACAGTGCCCCGCCCAGAGCGATATCTCACTTTTTAATCTATCATCATCATCACCATCATTTTGTGTTGGGGATTGAACACAGGGCCTTTGCACTCAGCTGTTTCCCCATCCCTTTTTATTTGTTTTATTTTGAGGCAAGGTTTACATTGCCCAGGCTGGGCTTTCTAGACTGCTGGGATGACAGGTGTGTGCCACCATGTGTGGTTTCACTCTCGTGAAACCAGGCAGGAGCCATGGCAGCCTCTCTGCAGAGTGGGGGCGATCACTCCAATCTGTGGGGTTATAGGAGGTGACCAGTGTGCAAGGCTCTGTCTCTTGATTCTCACCCACAGGTGCCACTGCAGAACTGCATCAGTCCCTCTGAGAGAGGCGCGGCTTCCTTCTGGCCCACCCCTGAATTCTTCAGCCCCAGCCACTTCAGGGACCTGGACGCTCACACCCGACATGCGGCTCACAGTCCGAGATGGAGACACCAGAGGAACCTGCAGGAAGCCTGGGCCCAGTGCCCGCTCAGTCCACAGTGTCCGTGTCGGGACTCACCGTGGACGGTCTGCAGCCTCTCTGAGCGCATCTTTGGCACCTCCTCCCTTTCAAGCACCGGTCTGCTCCCTCAGAACAGTTCCTGGGAAGCATGGCACACGCTCTGGTGTCTCAGCAGCAGCCAGCTTCACCCTGCCCTGCACACATGGCAAAAGATACAGCAGCTGCTGGTTCACTCCCATGAGTTGCTGGTGCCCCTGGAGCAGACTGTCAGCAGAAGGACCAGCTCTACCTCCACAACCTTAGCCATCTCTCTCCCGGACCTCCCCGCAGCTCAGAGGCTGCGGGCCTGCCCCAGAGAGTCCCTGCCTGCTCCTTCCAGCCTGCACCTGGAAATGCTCACCTGGAAGGCCTGCGGAAGCTCCCAAGACACCCGGACACCGTGCAGTGACACACAGACAGTAGCCAGAGAGTACAGTAGAAAGACCCAGGCTCCTAGGTGTGGAAACCAGAGAGAGGGCAGAGAAATCCAGGCGTCCGAGGGCCAATTGCCAACAGACTGTGGAACAGAGGACGCTGCAGAGGCCAAGGCCTTGGGATGCGGAAAGCAGAGACAGGTCATCAGAGAAACTGAGGGAGAGATCCTGGCGCCAGAGCAGGAGAAGCAGATGGGAGTTGAGAATAGAGCCCAAGCTGAGGAGCTAGGGAAGAAAACACAGAGGGCGGCTGGAAGTAAGAGTCCTCCTGAAACCCGGGCTCATACAGGGGAGAACCAAGAACAGTTAAGATGGCAAACTGATGCAGAGACCCAAACTCCAGAGTGGGGCTCCCAGGATAAGAACAGAGATGGGGATGCGGGGCGGACACAGACGTACGATGGGAAGAACCAGGAGGCCAGAGAGGGGGAAGAGGGCGTGGGCCAGGCCCGAGGACTAGAGAAACAGGGCCACCCTGGAGGGGACGATGGTGAGGAGGCCCTGTCTCCTGAGGAGGAGGAACAAAACCAGATGAGAGATGATACTGGTGCAGAAGTTGAGGCCGAAGAGGGGAGGAACAAGGACCAGGTTGGAAGTGGGGAGACCGTGCAAACCCAGGCACCTGGGGGACAGAACCTGGAAGGCAAACAACAGCACGATGCACAGGGCCAGGGCCAGGGCCAGGAGTGCGGGAGACAGAAGGCTGCAGAAGCCCAGACGCCGGCGGGGGAGAAGCAGGGTCAGGGGGAAAGCGAGAGAGCCAGGAACACTGAAGCGTGTAGGGGAGAGAACTGGAAACGGTCACAACGTGCGACTCCAGCGGGGTGGGAAAACCAAGGCCTGGGGAGAGGCGAGGACGCTGGGGACCCTCAGACATCGAGGAAGAAGCAGTTCAGGGAGATCAGAGAGGTGGACTGGGTGGTGATCAAGGCACCCTGGTGGGGAAACCAGAGACTAGTGGTGAGTGAGCTTCACCGAGAACTGAAGACGCCCTGTCAGGGGAAGCAGGACCAAAACCAGGCTGGAGAGGAAAATACAGCAGACATTCAGGCCACGGAGGAGAGGGAGCAGAGAGAGGGTGGCCATGAGGATGGTACAAACACCTGCGTCCCTGGGGCAGAGAACAAGGGACAGTTCGGAGGGGAGAGTGACGCTGAGACCCAGCTAGCCGGAGGGAAGAACAGGGAGTGGTTTGGAGATGGGAACGGAACGGATGCTCAGGCACCAGAGAAGACAAACCCGGGAAGAATTCAAGGGGAGGATGGCGCCGGGCTCCAGGAAGTTGGGCAAGAAAGTCAGCGTCAGCTGGGAAATGAATGTCATGGAAACAGTTACATCCCAAAGAGGAAGAGCCAGGAACATCTTACAGGCAAGGATGGGGCAAATATTCAGACACCTAAGGCAGAGAACTGGGGAGAATTAACAAGTGAGCTGGGTGGAGAAAGCCAGGCAGCAGCGCGGAAGAAAGGGGAGCGGGCTGAGAATGGGGAAGAAACCCAGACGCCAATGACGAGAAACTCAAGAGGAGCTGGAGGAGAGGCCGGTACAGACACAGGCACGTCTGGGGAGGGAAGCCAGAGGCAGGCAGGGCGTGGCGTGGACAGAAACAGCCCTTTGTCAGAGTGGAAGAATCAGGAACAGAGGAGAAGTGAGGATGGAACAGAAATCCAGGCCCCAGAGAAGAGCAAGCAGAGAGTCCCTGGAGTGGAAGATGCTTTAAAGCCCAGGGGACCTGAGAGAGAGAACGGACAGCTGGAGGGTGAGATTGGAGGATGCTGCTCTCCTGGCAGAGGGAGCTGGGAACAGGCTGGAGGAGAGAACACGGCAGAGAGTCAGGCGCCCCAGGAGAGAAACTGCAATGACGATGGAAGTGAGTGTGATGGAAGGGTCCAGAGAGTTCCAAGTAAGAAACCGAGACTGCTAAAAGGCAAAGTGAACGGAAAGAGCAGTTTCTCAGAATGGGGGAATCAGGAACAGATCGGAGGCAAGAATGGTTCAGAAATTCAAATACGAGGGGAGAGAAACCTGAGAGGGACAGACGATGATGGTACCCAGGCACCCGTGACCGGGGGCCAGGCCCGGCCGAGAAGGCAAACTGATGGGGAGACGCCGACCCGACGGTCAAGGGACCAGACCAGGGGTGGAACTGAGGACACTGCAGAAATCTGGGGTGTAGGGAGCCCAAGAAAATGCAGACCTGAGGATGCTACAGTGTCTCCAGCACCAAGGGGCAGAGACGAGGGTCAGGTCAGAGGAAAGGGTGCTGCCAGGGGCAGGTTCCAAGGTAACAGTTGTGGGGGTGGGGGACCCACAGGCAGAAAGCGCAGCCCGGCACAGCCTGCACCTCTCACTGGCTTTGGATGCTGGGCCTTGGACCAGGAAGAGACAGAGGCTGTAAACAGCGGCGCCCCTGCTCCCCGTTCTGAGATGAGGCCTCAGCCTTGCTGGGGTGGGGGTTTCCTGATGGCCGGTGGGGAGGGCCAGCACGTGACCAGACACAGCACTGACCCTGCCAGCGAGCACAGCGTGGAGACCAGCCCCGCCTCCCAGCAGCCCCAACCCGGATCCCAGAGAAGATGGCAAAGCGACAAAAGGGTAGATCCAGCAAAGGCCTCCAGCCTGATGCGGCAGCCCAGGAGCCCACAGTCCCCCGGGGCGCTCTCTGCCTGCCCCCCTATTCGGTGTGGCAGAGTCCCCCATGCCGCTAGAACCCTGGCAGGTGCCCCTGCTGTCCCTCCCAAGCGGCCAGCCTTCAGCTTCAGGAAGAGCAGACTGCTGCTCCTGGAATCTCTCATGCGGAGGAGGATTGCACACCTGCAGTGGGGCCTCCCGCGGCGGATCCTGCAGTCTTATCTGCTCTTTAGCTTCTTAGGCCCTTGCTCAATGCCCGTGGCTGCGGAGAGGCTGCCTGGATTATGCATAGGCCGGGAGCTCCAAAGAGAGCAGGAAAAGCAGCATGGAGCCCAGGAATTGACGCCAGGCCTTAAATCCCCAAAGAAGCCTCAAAGAGTTCTACTCTCCGAAAGAAAAAACTCAACACTTCCCACACAGGCCAGGGCTCTGCAGAAGCACAGACCATGCAGGTCCGCGCCCAGGGGCATTTCCACTCCGCCTCCAAAGCCCAGGAGAATCAGGCCACCAAGGGGCGCCAGAGAACTACAGCTCCAGCAAGCGGTCCCCACCGACGTGCTCCCTGCTCCCCGGAACCCCAGCCCTGCAGAGCCTAGGAGCTGGTGTGGCCCAGAAAATGTGCGAGAATCTTCCAGGGAGAACAGCAGCGGCAGGACAATGATCAGGCCAGGGGTCTCAGAAGTAGCGGAGTGGTCTTCCAGCAGAGCAAGGACCTCACCCTCCAGGGCCGGCCACAACTCCTGGAAAGAAGGCACATCCTGGGAGGCTTCTGAGCGCCCCAGACTCAAAAGTCAGCAGCCCACCTACTGGAGAGGAGGCCCAGAGCCTGTGCAGGTTGGAGGGCCTGGGCAGCAGAGTCCCTCCTGTTCCCCAGACCCCTCCGGCTTCAAAGGGAGTCTCTACTCGGCTGCAGCCAGCCTGAGCGAGACCCTGCTGAGCAAGAGATCCGGGTGCTCACAGCTGGCTAGGCCCCCGCCCTTGGCCTCTAACCTGAGCCTGCGGGGTCCGAGACAGCTTCCCGGCGAGGGGGACCTGCGCGCAAGGGAGGCCAGCGTCGGAGTCAGCGCTGCTTTAGAGCCTAGCCTTCAGCTCCCAGGGCTCTGCTGGGCTGGGGCGGCTCTGCCTAGGATAGGCAGCCGCCAGGGTGAGGGGGCTCCGTGGAATCCAGAAGTTGCTCCCCCAAGGTTTCGTTTTATGAAGCATTTGCAATGTTTTTTCTTCCGACGTAGCATTAAAAAATAGGGCACAGGCTCAGAGTCCTCAGAACATGTGAGCGGCCTGCTCAGCCCCAACCTCTAATAAAACTGGTTACTTGGGCCCAGTAGCGTTCAGATTTCTTTGGTGTAAGTTTTCTGAATGCCATCTTTTGGGGTTTGCAAAACTTTATGGGTGGGATAAAAACCTTT